ACTCAAAATTACGAGTCGAATTCTCTGAATATAAACATAGATTATGGCTTTTCTCCTTTTTGCTGACAAAGAGGAATGATAACATTTACGTGGTATTTCCAATACTCCCACTCAAAAATGAGAAAAAAAAATACAATTATGCTTGCCTTGTATCGTATCGGGGGAGAGATATTTATGATCCAACATTTGTTGCAAGGCTCGGGGAAAACCCCAAAGAAAAACCCGAGCAGATAAATAACAAATTAAAATTAAAAACAGTGATATCATTAAAAATATCCTGTCTATTCTAAACCCATTTTGAAACGCAGTTCTTGAAATCTAGGAGTCGGTAGCGGTTTCGTCAGAGCATCTGCCAATTGGTCACCTGTAGGAATATATTTTAAAATTAACACATTTTTATTTACTAGGTCTCTACTAAATGATACTTAATATCAATGTGTTTGGATCGCATGTGAAAAACAGGATTGTTTACTATCGCAATGCAACCTGTATTATCTTCATATATAGTTATGGGATTGGCTAAATCAAAATTAATATTTTGAAAAATAGATTTAAGCCATACAGCTTTTCTAGCTGCTTCAAAAAGTGCCATATACTCAGCCTCTGTTGATGAAGTTGCAACTGAATTTTGTCTTTTTGTATTCCAACAAACTGTACAAGTTCCAAATAATTTAAAAACATATCCTGTTTTGCTTTTACGACCTGTTTCAGCATTACCCCAATCGAAGTCCACATACCCTGTCAAAATATGATTTAAATCACTCCTATTATAAACCAATTTCAATTCTAATATACCTTTTATGTATCTTAAAATAAGTATAAGGCATTGCCATAATTCCTTATTGTTTTTATTTTGATATCTGCTCAGAAAGTTGATGGCTGTACATAAATCGGGTCGTGTACATAACATTACATACATTAAACAACCTATCAAATTTCGACAAGGAGCATCAATACTTTCATCAGAATTTAAATTATTATAATTTAATTTAGTTGGCAATGGCGTATTGACCGGCTTGCAATCTGTCATATTAAATTTACTTAAAACAGTTTTTAAATATAAACTTTGATTCAAAGTAATTTTACCTTTGTTTCTGTCGACTTTAATGCCTAAAAATAGTTTTGCTTCTTGCATGTCTATCACTAAATTGACTCATCAAATAATTTTTAAAATTTATCATAGTATATTTATCCGCCGTGGCGATCAGCAAGTCGTCGACGTATAATATGACATACATATTTTTATAAATATTTCCTCTGTCTAAGAAATATAAACAACGGTCAACCTCTGAATTTTTAAAGTCGTGTTGTTTTAATACCTCATCGAAACGTGCAAACCAACATCTCGCTGACTGTTTTAAACCATATAATGATTTATTTAACTTACAGACTTTGTTTTGTTTAGCTTTAAAACCTTCCGGTATACGCATAAAAATTTCTTC